TTCCCTACATAGTCAGTTTTTCCCTTATTGAAAAGCCACTTATAAGCATCAACCGAGAGAACCAAAACTGTTATTAAAAGTTTCCTCATGTCATTACATAAATATTAACAGGAACTGTGTAATGGTGATGAGAAAAATTTAATCTTCATGGAAAACATACAGATAAATGCTCAATACATGAAAATAATTAAAATAATCTGATGTTGGTAATATGGTTATAATGATTCCTATATACAGCAACTACCATTAAAAACCCAGCATCTACAAAACTACTTGTTACAAATAATTTGTATTTGATGTGTTTTAACATTTCTGAGATTTCTTGTCAAAATGCTTTTCAAATGCATGTTTGCCTAGACTGGAGTAACAGCATTTACTTATGTAAAGCGACTAGAAAATTCTAAAAGATGATCACTATTTTTAAATACATGAATTTCTGGGCACTTCTATAGTGCTGACCACTAGAATTTAGGGAATAGTTATATTAATGTTTTATGACAAAGCGTTATTAATAAAATTAAGAAATGTTACTTACTGAGTTACTAATTAGGACATGTTAATATAGTTATTAGACTTATTTCCCCAAAGTTAAGTTTAAAAAATAGAAAGGTTTTTCTTTCAGACAATTACCAGTTTGCATGCATTCTTTCTTAAAAAGGTAAAAGAGGTTGGATTATATGTGAACCTAAAATATTCACCTCTCCCAGAAGTTAGCATCAAATAACCCTGAACAAAATGAAGGCCATAGCAAATTCTCCTCAGGTATTTTGTATTCTGCACAAATCTACTTTTTGGTAATTTGTGGCATCCATTACGGGTGTGCAAAGCAGGTTCTATTCAATTCAGATTCGGCCAGAATCGGGGACAATGATTCAATACGTTGATTCATCTCACTGTCCCCGATTTGATTTGGCTGAATCCGAATCTAAAGATTTGATGCTGATTCGGAGAGTCAGCGATTTGGACACAGACACAGCTTTAAAAGTTTTTTCTACATACCTTGAGGTAGCAATATGGCTTGTGGTCATTGTGATACTAACACAGGAGTGCGGGGGGCACTTCCACATGTTTGGTGGTAAACCTGGAAGTGGACTTCTGGTACACTTTTGGGTCTGCTGGGGAGCATGCAGCCCCCCCCCCCCCCCCCCCCCCCCCCCCCTGTACCCCTGTGTGCCTGCCTGGTCTCCAGTTGGTGTTCACGTGCCACCTTGGCGCGTGTGCCTGAGAGCCACCATGACATGGGCATTAGCTCTCCCTGAATGAACCCACGGTCTCCCTGGGAAAAGCCCTGAGACTCGTCTGCCACAACTTAGATGGTAATTTCAGGGGTGGGCTTCCCCTCAGTGGGCTCACTCAGATAGACTGCGACCCTCAGTGGGTCTCTGCCTCCCCTACACCCCATCCACATGCCAGCCTTCGCAATGACTGCCACTGTTCCCCAGCTCACCTTCCGGTGTCACCTCTCTCCTGTCAAGATGCTCCGGACTGCTTTGACTAGGTCTGCCCTTTGACTGTCATCTACCACCCCTCCTCTCTCTTGGAGCGTTGTCTTTGCTGCCCCCCAGCCCTTACTTCAGGGCCTTTTGGGGTGCCCCTGTCCTGGCCTCAGAGCCTCTTGGGGCTAGTCCTCAAAGGGGTATCCAAAGGCCCCTTCATAACCGGGTCGATGAGAGGAAAATAAAAAGGAAAGAAAAAGAACAAGGCTTTCACCCTTGATCCAGGGCAGTGTCTGGTCTACCCCTTTTCTTACAGTCTTCGGTGTCCCTCGATGTGTTCCCCTGCTCTTGCCTCTGCTGGAGGCTCTCCCTGGTGCCCCCGCTCGGAATCCCTCAGCATCCCCTGGCATAGCACCTGCCTGGTGGGAGAAGTGCCTCCAGAGTCCTTACCCTGCAACACTCCCCCTGTGTCTCCCTTGGTGCCGGCTTTTATCCTTGCTAGGCAGCCTTCGGGGATGACGTCACTGGCTCATGCCGGCTCAAGCTGGAAGTAGGCGCGGCTCACAAACTGCACAGCCATTTGGAGCAGGTGCGTC